AATTGCCTCCGAAGTGCCGGCCTGGATGCTGACAAGGGCTGGGCCTCTAGGCCCCTCCTTCCCAGCAGGCACTATGCCAGGCTAGGGGGCCTGGCCCAGAAGGGCCCCTTCTCTCCCCTGTCAGCGCCTGCTTGGCCTAGACCCTTGAGATGCGGGCAGGGGGTCACTAGGGCTGGCGGCTCAGGAAGGAGTGGGGGGAGATGCCTATGAAGTCATTGCCTGGGCTAGGCCAGGCCACACTCCACCCCTCCCCCACATCCCTTAGACATCCCCTCACACCCCCCTTCTTGAGTCAGACGCCTTCTCCTGAAGCTCAGCACTTTCTCCTCTTACTAGGAAGCTGCTGGGCTCCTCTGCCCAGATGCTCCTCTGTTCCTCAGCCTTTCCCTCTCTGTTCCTGTGTCTGTCCTCTCGCCCTCTGCTATTTTCTCACTCAGTTTCTCAGCCTGTCTTAGCTCATCTCAGTTCCCCAGACCCTTTTATACCCTTCTTGTGTTCTCTGGTCCTTCCCTGGCCCAAGATCCACCTTAAGCCTTGCCTCTGGTCTCCCCAGACTTCCCTTGGACCACTGTCAGTCAAGAAGGGGCTGAGAAGGAGGTCTTTATCACGTGTTTTTACAACTTGCCCAGAGACCTAAGGCCTGAGCTCTGAGGGCAGCTGTCAAGGATGGATCTGGACACCACCCAGCCTGGGAGACATGAAAGCCTTCCATCTTCAAAGGCGGAGCCCCTGGGCCCCACTACATATGCCTCCTACAGCTCAGACACTCCCATATCCACTCTGACTCTACCCTCCTTGGCCCCTGCTCCTTGTCCTAGCCCTGCTTTTTGCCCAAATTGGGGCCTTGGTTCAGCCTCTAGCTGGTGCCTAAGGGCAGCTTCGTTGTTGCCTTGCTTGGTACTGCTGGGTTTCTCGACTCCTGGGATTCTTTGTCTCTGTCTCCTGTCTGAGGATCTATGCCTTGAGACATCTGCCTGCTTCTGATCCTTGGGATGAGGCCAAAGGAGGACTCCAGTCTTGGGGTACCTGTCTTCAGCCCCTAACCTATCCCACACTGTCTCTGCTTTTCTCCTTGTTCTATCTCCCTTTCTGGCCCCCTCAATCTTAGAACTACTTTAACTGCCTCTTACACTCTTGAAAAGGGAATAATATTAATATAATAATTGTCATTCGTCGAGCTTTACATGTGTTATTTAACATCCCCAATAAATAGGTTCTATTATTATTTAGCCCCATTTGAAGTTGGGGCAAGGGGAGTAGCACCATGTTGTGAATCTTAAAAGAAAGAGTCCCAGAGAGGGACAATAAGTTGTCCAAGGTTCTATATAGTGAAGGGATTCCAACCCAGGCCTTACTGCAAAGCCTGCATCTTTTTCACAGTTCTAGAAAAGAGTTGGGAATGGACACCTTCACCTCTTCGCTCTGCCATCTTGGACTCTCTATTGCCAGTCCTCTCCCCTCTGCCTTTGACCTTGATTTGAGGACGAGGTTTCCTTTTCTATCTACCCAGAGTTTAGACTCCATCCTCTCCCACTGTCTATTATTCACCTCCCCAGTTCTTCACAAATTTGTGTATACTCCTGCTGTCCTGAAAGCTTTTCGCATTAGCCCTTTTATATCCCATTAAACTTCTGGAAAGCCTAACATAGCCTAACTGTTTCCAGGCTGGTGTGGATTTGCTGCAGTGGGGGTGGAGGGTTGAGAGACAGGCCCTGGCCCCCTTGATAAAGATGAGGAATTCACTCCACTAAACTGAGGTTCCTGAGAAGCCATCTTGGGTCTTCCCATCATCTGTGACTTGAGTTACATGGCGTTTTTCCATTCGGTAACCTCTTTCTCACTGGGCTCCAATCCTGGATTTTCCTTCTAGTCACAGGCCTTGAATCCTTGTGTCCTTAAGTGCTGTTTTTTTCCTACTTGTCTCCTACCTCCTCAGTTGGCACCCACTTCACTAGACCCTCCTTTGTCATTGTAGTTGTCTTTCCTCTCTAATTCAACACTCAAGAAGGGTTCTGAGGCCTTGGCCCAGGCCAAGGTTCAGTAGTTGATCACGGCTCATTGAAATGCAGGTATGGCCTCAGTGTGTTAAGGGTTAATTCCAGACAACCTGTAGGTGGGTTCTTTGCTTGAGGCCATCAGACATTCAGAAGG